GGACACAAACACACGGACACACACGCAAACCTCCAGGGTCAACATGCAATTACACCTCAGAGGGCCTCTCCAGTCTCACAAGAATACTAGATACAGGAGGAGGCACGGCCGGCAAGATGAGAGCGTTAACCCCGAATATGAAGTGAACTGCTTGGTGGTTAACCTGCTGCTGTTGAGCTCTGCTTCATGTGACCACTGGCTGGTATCTCACTCATGCACTGACGCACAGCGGCAGTTATCTTCTGCCCGTGCATTACCTCTATTGAACCTTAAATGCTTGCGCTAACAAAAGAAAAAAGACGTTATCTGCGTCACAATATAATTGTAAGAGAACAGTGCTTGTAATTCTTTCAATCTCCGCTCCATCAGAGATCTCTGTCATCTGTGATTGTGGCTCCTCAGTGCGTATGCAGCCTGACAGGCTTTGACTTTTTCAGAGCTGCATTAACGTGAGTGATGCATTGTTCTCGAAGGCCACAGACGGTTTCAATGGAAATTAGAGGCTTGAGTTATCATTATCTAAATTGTTATTATAAAGACTGACGAGTCTGTTTCACTCTCTTTGGTGTAAATTAAAGGGAGTTTTTTCTTCTTTTCTGAAGTTTTCTTATGATTTATTTGGTTGAGGGGGTACTTAATGCAATTTTCTCACCTCCCGCTGCTAAATCGGCGAGTGCCAGGGGAGAGAGAAAAACAATTAAAGATGGATGAAAAGGAAAACCTCCACCTCATTTTTAACATGGAATAATCTATCGCAGTCTTCTCTATTTCGGCTAATTTGAATGTGGGGACAAGGAGGGCGAAGAGGAATGAAGGGAGTAAGATAAGGAGGCGGGAAGGTTATTATTTCAAGGAGAGTTTTCAACCTCGTTGCCTCATAAATTAAAGACAATCATACTTGACTGCAGTGCCTCCACCACAGAGTTTCCTGCCTAAATCTTGGCTTAAATCTCACCATATTTGCAGAGGAAATCTGAACGAGAGCTCCAACTGAGGCAAACAAATCACTAACGTAATGACGGTGCATTGTTTGCACTGTCAAAGGCCGTGAGCTTTTTCCTGAAGGCCTTTTAAAGTACAGATAATTGTATTCATGGCAGTAATGGCCTTATTAACTGGTTATTGCCCCTGGTGATTTATAGGAAGTTTCATAATGAAACGATTTCATTGAGGAAACTGGGTTTTATACCTTCACACTAAGTCACTTTACAGTGTAAATTGTTTACTGACATCAAGTCAGTCATATATTAAATAAAAATGAAAGTCTTCATTCTTGTTTATTCTTGCAATGGACAGCTT